TCTACTACATATTGTGATATAATTACACACACGTCAGTGGTTTTCCATCAAGATTTTCTAATATTTTTAACGTTTATTGAAATATTTGCAAAAATCGTCGAAAACTGTTTACATAACCTCTTAAAAATTGAAGTGAAGCACTCAGGTATATACGTACACTCTTACCAACATAAAAATAGTCATGATTAAGTAACATAACCTCACATTTCGACATTTCTTATTAAGATTGTGGAAAATTTCGGGCTTCTACCGTAATTTTTTTGTTGAAAACGCTTAAATAAGGTACGCTCTAGCGGTTTTTACTAATTTCATGGTCGTAACTCGGGGCCCGTATAACACATTGTAACCGAAAATTCTTCTACAGGTCGCACAGTTAAAACCAGGCCCTCCGAAATCCGGGGTGGTTCCTTTTTGTACTCGAGCAATAATGTTTAACTCTTCGCATGTGGTTTCGTCGAGCAAATAGGTCGAATAAAGCAGGCACAAAATATTCATCAATCCGCTGCCACCATGCAGTGCCAAGACGTTTATTTTTCCTTTCTTTTTCCAAGGTAACTCAAAACAAAAACGTAACACCTAACAATGCCATTAATTATCATTTTCTATTGTATTAAACTATTAGTAATACGGTAAGCGCGTAAGCCGTTTTCTAAATGCGACTCACGAGCAATTAATTCCACTTATTTAAAAAGGTACTGTTAGTGGCCAAAGTCTCATCGGTCTTGATTACTAATTTCAAACCCAATTAGTAGAAAACTTACGGACTTGTTTTAGCCAACATTACACTATGCAGGATTCACTCGGACGTTTCCACTGTGGCGCTGGTCTGAAATTTCAATATGGATCTAAGGTGATCGAAGGTTTCTATCAGAATCTGCCAAAAGTTGTCAATGAAATTGGAGGCTGTATCAGTCATGTTTCACGGTCTCCACAGCCAAGGAAATGTGTCTAAAATATTGACGTGTTTACTTGTTTTTCGTTTCCCTGCCTTTTCTGCTTTTGCCCGGCGATTCCCATCACGGCGATGTCCATCCCTGCACCGATTTCCCGGCGACCATTTACTTCCCGGCTACGGTTATCCCAGCGATGGATAATCTCGGCAACAATGTACATCCCGGCTTCAGTCACCCGGCAACGATCGTGGGGGGGGGGGGCCTGGAAAACATTTAAGATGCGGCAAACATGAAGCATATTATATTGAAACAATTCACCAGAATTAGTAGTACGGGAGGTAGCGTCCTATTTTTACGGGTCATTTTCGCACAATTACTTTTTATTCTGCCTGGTAGTTTTTACTTAGTTAACACTTAAAACAAGCGTCAGCTGGCGCGACTGCGTGGCGTGATGGTATGAGAGGCTAAGAAACACGTAAGAAAAAAATGTTAATATAGTGTACAATGTAAAAAGAGCATAAATAACTGTCAGCTGATATTTAAATGTGGCAAAACCTGTTAGCTGGGCGTCCAAAGTGTAGTGTAGCGTAGCGTTGAAAGAGAATACATGAGTAAAATGGTATCACATACTGTATAATAATATTATACATAAATTGAAACATTGTATTTTATAATTTGTAACGTGGTTAAGGACATAGAATAAATCAAAAGAGACAAAACAAACTAAAAAAAGGAAACTAATAGCCGAGCTAATAGCCCTAACCACGGCTGCGGCTGCTTCCGGAGAGATTATGGTACGTTTGTGTAAGATTATTTTAGGCGCTACTAACTTTTATTTTCCTGTTAGGACAAAACGCAACCAATAACACATTTCTTAGACAATTCTTTAAAAAAATGCGTTACAAGAAAACAGACCGGGTCTGCGGGAGTGTTTGTCTTATTTTCTCCTTAGCTTCCTCGACCACAAGAGGGCTATTTTTAGCGCATTTCCACAAAAATTAAAAAAAAAATGCGCTATTGTGGCCACTTTGTCCGTCCGTCCGTCCGCTAACTTTGCGACGCTACTAGTTTTTTATCTTAAGAGCTATTGTTCTACTTTTTTCGCTATTTGGTTCGTTATGGTGTCGAGTCTTGTACCAAGGAAGGAATTTTTTCTGTACCGCTAACAAAAAAAGTTATTGTAAAAAAAACAAACAACCGTTTTTCACATGTTCCATAATTTTTCGCTTTTGCCGTTTATTAACGATCCTAGAGATCGTTTATAATTTTGCATTGCTATCTGTCGCCTGCCGGTTGGTCTCTCCGTCTGTTCCTTTGTCTGTCTATCCATCTATCTGTCCGTGTGAACCATAACTTTGTTTAGAAATGTTCGATCGCTTTTACATCTCCGTTAGTTATGAACTGAATTGCATGAAATTCAATATGGGCATAGATTTAGCCATATAATACGCAATGCCAAAAGTTGAATCGAATCGATTCAAAATTCACATTGCCCTTTTCGCATCTCGACCATTTATAAACCGAATTGCAAACTTTTTTACTTATAAAAGTATTTGAATGAAATTTGATACATAGGCACTTGGAATAAAGGAAAATCAAACGCCAATTTCAAAATTTGGTTTTGCGCATGCGCAGTGCCAACTTTTTTATTTATGGAAGAATTTAAACTAAATTTGATACATAGGCACTTGGGATAAAGGAAAATCAAACGCCAATTTCAAAATTTGGTTTTGCGCATGCGCAGTGCCAACTTTTTTATTTATGGAAGAATTTAAACGAAATTTGATACATAAGCACTTCGAATAAAGGAAAATCAAACGCCAATTTCAAAATTTGGTTTTGCGCATGCGCAGTGCCAACTTTTTTATTTATGGAAGAATTTTAACGAAATTTGATACATAGGCACTTGGGATAAAGGAAAATCAAACGCCAATTTCAAAATTTGGTTTTGCGCATGCGCAGTGCCACCTTTTTTATTTATGGAAGAATTTAAACGAAATTTGATACATAGGCACTTGGGATAAAGGAAAATCAAACGCCAATTTCAAAATTTGGTTTTGCGCATGCGCAGTGCCAACTTTTTTATTTATTGAAGAATTTAAACGAAATTTGATACATAAGCACTTCGAATAAAGGAAAATCAAACGCCAATTTCAAAATTTGGTTTTGCGCATGCGCAGTGCCAACTTTTTTATTTATGGGAGAATTTAAACGAAATTTGATACATAGGCACTTGGAATAAAGGAAAATCTAGCGCTAGTTTCAAAATTTTATTTTGCGAATGCGCAGTGCCAACTTTTTTATCTATGGAACTATTTAAGTGAAATTTGATACTTAGGCGCTTGGAACAAAGGAAAATCTAACATTAGTTTTAAAATTTAGGTATGCGCATGTGCAGTTCCAACTTTCTTATTTAGAAAAGCATTGAAATGAAATTCTTCGCATAAACTGAAATTGAAGTAGCACGTCAACAATGGATTGCCCATGTGCAACGCTATCTTTCATATTTGTGGCCGGATTTCTACGATTTTAACAGAAGTTGCATCTTACAAATGGGAAATGAATGCAAGTGGAAATGCCCTTTATGTAAATCGTTTACGATTACTTTTTAACTTGTTTAATTTTTGGGCACGGCTCCCTAACAGGGAAATAAAAGTTGGTAGCGCCTGAAAGATAATCACACACAATCATACCTACAGTCTCTCCGTGAGCAGCCGCAGCCGTGGTTAGGGCTATTAGTTTCCTTTTTTTGGTTTGTTTTGACTATTTTGATTTATTATATGTCCTTAACGCACGTTACAAATTATAAAATACAATGTTTCATGTATAATATTATTATACAGTATGTGATACCATTTTACTCATGTATTCTCTTTCAATCATATTTTTCTCCAATAATATGACATCAGCATGCATGGAAATGAGTACCTCATCAGTTTATGGCGCAAAAAAAAGGAAACCACTTGTTAGCTGACACGACAACGTGGAAAAATGTGTTAGCTGGGTCATTAAAATTTAAAGTCGCCGCGCGCGCTAACACTACGCTACACTTTGGACGCCCAGCTAACAGGTTTTGCCACATTTAAATATCAGCTGACAGTTATTTATGCTCTTTTTACATTGTACACTATTAGATATACCATTTTCAGCTTTGCGAAAATGGTCCGAAAAACAATTTTGTTTTACATCTTTCGCAGTCTCTCGCCATCTTAAGCCACGCTTTTGAACCAGCTGACGCCCCTATCGTTGATAGGTTATGGATCAAAAATCTATAGTAGAAAGATGAACTTTGCGAAAATGGTCCGGTCAAATAGAGGACGCTACCTCCCGTACTATAGGTTTTCTTATTTGTTATTTTATAGACGTCCTTTGCATCGATGGCAATTGTGTAAACAAGATAGCTTTTTGAACTTCCTTACATACTTCGGTTTCCTATATTTCTAAGAATTAATTACACTACGTTAATAATGCACAATAACAACCTCTTTCGGTACCTTCTATGACAACCACTTCTAAAGTATACCATTTATTTATGTAAAAAAACCAAAGAAAAATGAGGTTGGGCAGACGCCATTAGGAAAGTGTGAATTGCTGAGATAACCGATGTCGGGAAAGCAAAAGTTGCCGGGATAGGTCGTCGCCGGGATGACCGAAGGCGGGATAGTAATGGTCGCCGGGATGTACATCGTGGGGATTAATCACAAGACAGGGCAAAATGGGCACACCATCCTTCCACCAACTCACAGTTAGCAATTTACACGTGGCAGAGAAACAAATTACTCCCCATAGTGTACCGTGGTTTTCTGTATCAATTTATTATTATCAAACCAAATTTGATCTTTACAAAATTAACTTCGAGTGAATGATGAGTGACAAGTAAATTTGACGAACATTTCCCTGCAAGTATTCCTTGATGAGTATAAAAGACGAATATTGCGTTAATACATATCTCAAACTGCTGTCTCAAATAATCTCCAAGTTTATTTTTATTATTCTCGAAAATAACGCAATACAAAATAAATTTAAAAATACCTATCTCCAAACTGCCTGCTTACATTATGAAATTGCCTTTCCTTTATCTTCTAAACAGAATTTAATCGTTTACAGAATGGTGGTGTCGAGAACAGTTCTCAACGGCGAAGTATAAGGCGTAAGAGTTCCGGAAAATTACGAGGAGCGGAAAAGATCAAAACGAACCAGGGAGGAAAAAATAAACAGTCGACAGAGTTAGAGGAAAAATCCGCGACGAAAATTCAGGCGGGCATCAGAGGATTTCTCGTTAGAAGACGACAGAAGAAGGATACGAAGAACACTGCGCAATCCTCATAAGTTCGTTTTTTTTATTTTTACAGCTTTTTGATGTGTATTAATAAAATAAGCGTTTTGTATTTTTAAGTTTAAAATGTAATTTGACGGATGACAAGTTGGTGGGTGTTAAAATGACGAAAGGTGATGAGAGAAGTACGCACCGGCAGTATATTTGTTCTGTAGTTTTTAAGCGTGCGAAATGACTCACATTTTGTCAAAATTTTGCTGAAGTCAAATCGTAAAGTTGTGATATGAAAAACGTTACTAATTCGATTAATCTTTTTTGTAGATATTTTACGAGACACGACCCAAATTGTTTTCGTGGTTTGCATATGCTTTCAGATTTTGGTACCTATTTTTAAACAAACGCATTGGTCATATGTATGGAGTGAAACTCATAAACGTTGTATTCAATTCAATTAGACTTGAATGCAGTTATTTCTGTTCTTAACCCACTTTAAAAATTATGAAGTGATTTTAATAACAACGTTTTGGTTGCATTTCAACACAGAAATTGCTTTTTTTATGATGTGTTAATATGTATATATAGGTATGCATTTTCTTGTTAGCCTTTAATTTCTTATATTATAGTCTGCGTATTATAGAATAGTACCTAAACATTTTTAATGTGCTAGTGTTTAAGTTTTTGACCATATTAATTTGTAATTATATATAAATAAAGTTAGATCGCAACATTTTTTGTCGTTCTAATTCGGGCATCTGATTGAGGATCTACTTAGGTAGTACTACGTTTCAAAAAGCATAATAAACCTTTTTGAAAGGACTATCTAAGACGTTTAGTAAAGATCTAATGGATCAAAGCACTAAGTATTGCCTACAAATACCTACCCATTGTAAACTATGTATCTAAATTCGCTTTTGATTTTACTGTGAAGTAGCGTGGCAAAAAATAGGCAATCTGTCTCGTAATAATAAACACTTCATCTAGAATGAATCAATTTAAAACATTCTACAAAATACTCAATGGAAGAGCTGTCCCAATTCTGTAGGTAAATGTATAGCTCATAAGAACGGAATGTAATCAAACTGTGGCTACACTGGAATGCATATATGTATTGCTCGCTGTTGATGACAGGTTTGTTGTTTTTGGTGTTCGTGTCAGATTAGGGAGATGAACTCAAATATGCCATAATAAGAGATGATTTAGCTGAACTGAGAAGCTGTTGGGTTTACCGAATGTCTTCTTAGGTGATTGGTGATGGAAAATCGCTCGCCTCGGTGGAAGACTTTTCTGTTTACTTTACATCTTAAAGAAAGGCGGTAGATGAAGGTGTGATGAAGACTTACTTGCAAATATCTTATATTCCATAGTGCACTTTGCTTAAGTGCATCAGGGAGACGTTGAAGATTTGATTCCCCATAAAAATTCCGCTTATTATGAAATACTGTCAGACAATGGTGAGTTAAATTTCTTGGATGTGTAGCGAACTTTTATTTCTTTAATAACTTATTTGTAATGAAACAATTAACAAAATTTATTTAACCATACCCATTTCAAGAATATGACGGACTGTCCCTGTCAATATCCTTGTCGCCTACAATTTTGGTACACTGTCCCCTCTTTAAGATTGTTGCGTCCTCCTTTCGCGTTGTTTTCGAAATTCAAGAGTATTCTGGATTACTGTTTTTCTGTGACAGAACTGACATTCATCGCGTCTGGTGCGTCTTCCTTTGGCAAAGAAGAAGCAGTCAACATTCTTGCAAGTTGACTCCATAAAGTCTTTAATACCAAGACTACAAACCCGTTTCGATGTCGCCAAATATAATCCCTAGCATATTGTGTACCACACGCCAATCCAATCAGTCCAACCCACAACCGATTTTTGGAATAGGGATTTAAGCTCAACAGCAATTCCTCGGCCCAGCGTCACGTCATTTGCAATGCAATGAAATAAGCAATATTCATCTGGAACTTCGAACAAGTCTCTTTGTTCTTCGCGCACAATGCTGCTCTCTAGCCAGAATTACCTATTAATCGATTTCAGTTTTCTAATGGTATACGAAAATCCAGGATTGAACCCAAGAAGGTCGTGCAGTTTAAGGAAAATATCAACGTAATAACAGATTGCGCCTTTTAACCTCATATTCCAAGGAACAAAAGGGCATTCCTGGACTGCCGAATTTGGAGATTTCATTCCGACTATTTGAATAAGTATAATTAACTCATTATAAATAACAACCGTCGATTAACTCGGGATTACATCGGTTAGGTGCGCTCTTAAAAAACTTGAAATTTGACACCAGTCCCATATTTTTCCGATGTTAGGGGAAGGCGTAGTTAATTAAAAACGGTTTAATTTGTTTGAACGTATCGAAACGGGAATTCCAGTTTGTCCCTACTCGAAATTGAAGTTTAGGCAAATAGAAAACGCACTATGAAATAGGATCTTTTTGCCTATTTTTGCAAATATGTTTTTTAAGTACCGAAATTTTGAGCTTTACCGGAAATTTGTTGTTGCAACCGTGCCATATTGAAATCCTCGCATTTGATTGGTTAAGCGACACGTACATTCTTTTACTTTTGCATATTTTGCGCTGTGTTGCAACCGTATGAAATTTGGATATTTTGCGTAAATTTTATGTTAAATTTTGTTTTTTTTTAAACGAAATATTTAAAATAGAAAGAAAACAATAACTATATCAAATAAATTTCGTCCAACTGTTGTTCCGCCGGGAGAGTACTCAAGATACATGAACTATTTCCGCGTTGGATAGCCAAGTGGAATAAAAATTGCTTAGCGCGTTTGTCGCCGGATTCCGCAATTAAACTTCTGCCTATTCTATTGAGAAAATCTCGTGATTCCTTGCAACAAGTGCCTTGAAAGCAAGTCCCATAAATATATAGTCTTTCTCTAGATCTTGATATTTTTTGTGTTTTTTTGAGCATGCCTCTTCTGCTGCAGCTCCAGCCCTTACCGAAGTACTCTTCAAGTTTGTTATGGATTAAGTTTACCGCACCGTAACTATAGCACCCGACACCGCCGCCGCCGTTCCGAATCCTGACCAGTAGCAGGGTTCCGAACCTTCAGGTGGCGCTCGAAGCAATCCCGTTACGCCGATTCTTGCCGCCGTTCCACCGTCTTCCGCCGAATCTCATCGCTGTCATCGTCTACATAGTTTATCCTGTAAATTACCGCTGGATGTTGTGTTCTTACTGTCATTCAATTTCATTTTGTAATTATACCGTTTAATTTGTGTTTTTTTTGTATAGGGAGAATCGAAGCGATCCTTGGTGCGCGAGCTTCCCGAGAAAGTTCGTCGCAATGTTGCACGTGCGATCTTTACCGATTGATCTCCCTCTGTTTCATTTTGACCAGTATGTGGTAGACAATTTATGTGAACTACCATCATTTTCCATCGCTGTCTTTTAGATGCGGTAGATCAAATCATAGATTCTTTAAATGGGACCGTCCCAATCCGTCTATAGCTTCCTCTTCGCCTCTGTGGTCGATACAACTAAACGAGAACACCTTCTGCTGTTTGTTACTTGAATTCAATCTTGCACTTTTTCGTGGATGGCTTCCATTTTTAGGCGAAAGTTCTCCACGTACTCGTCATCGACTACTTCGGTTTCGCCGGCTCTAATACCGACTTTCAAGTTGCAGGGTAATCGGATTTCCCTATCAAAGAGTATCGAGACCGGCGATTGCCGCGTGCATTCACGGACTCCAGTCACGCTGATGATCCGACATAACCTTTGACAATATTTTCCCATAGTCCGATTCATTCTTTCCACCATTCCATCAGATTGGAGGTGGAGGACTGTCGTCCTAATAATGACTGAAGTTCCGCCCTTGGTCGGACTGTAATTCCAATGGGACTCCAAATCTACACTAACCCGTCCGCAACTGTCATAACTTCTTGATCTGGAAGGACATACGTTTCTGTCCATTTCGAAAAAATAAGTTCATCGCTACCAGGACGTATTTGATTCCATCGTCTGTTTCTGGAAACGGATCTGCAATATCGATGACGATTCTTTCAAACGGACCATTTCTATTTGCATAGACCGGGCACTTCCTGCACCAGTTCTGTACGTCATTTTTTGTAAACCTTTCACGTACTTTTTGTAGAGTTAAGCCCAAGTGTCCTCCGGATGAGTCATTGTGCAAGTGACGAGATCCCCGATATCCTTTTTTTGGGGAGTAGGTAACTATTTGCATTTTAATAGTTGTACCCTCCTCGTTTTCAACTTTTTAAAAGACAATCTTGTATTTTCAACGAATCCCACTGTTACAGTGGACCAAACTTTGCTGCTTCTTCCCAGGAGGGTCGTTTGTCTGCAATTTTCCATTCCACTATGTGTTGCAGATCGAAGTCGCTGTCCTGATTCTGCCGAAATGCTACGGGAATCCAATTGTCATCAATTGCTCCAGTGAGTCCTACTTGAACCTGCTTGGCTTCTAGTCGAGCACACAGTTCATTGTTTTCGGGACATGGCCTACTTGACTTGACCTCTCAAGATCCGACAGACCATTTCTTTGAAATTGGAGCTTGTGGGTGTAGAAAAGCTAGCCTAAAATGTCCACCTCATGCAAATATTATGATGGGCAGTCCTATAACAACAGCCCACATACTGTGAATCACAAGGACGATAATGATTTTGCATTATGAAGGCACCAACCACCAATATAACTCTCGCCAGGAAAGATTGCCGGTCACAGAACACTTGATCCCGATCTACAATCTCTGTTTTTCGTAAGGTGCTAGCGACTTCCTGGATAGTGTCGTGTCAATGTTGAACGAAAAGACTTTTTGTTCAACATTAGCACGATCCTATTCCAGAAGTCGCTCGCATCTTAATAAAAACAAAGATTGTAAATCGACACAAGGTGTGCTGTGACCGGCAATCTTTCCTGGCGAGAGTTATAACCTATTTGAATCACAATTTTAATAAATCTATTTTGCTACTAATGTCTTTGCTTGTATTCATTCATTTCCTCCCTCTTTGATTTAACCTTTCCTGATTTTGGCAATCACGGCTACCCATGACCTTCAGTTAATCATTCGAGGAGGTCAAACGTATCCACATCTAAATTGATCGTGCACTTGCACCCAACAATGCAATTGTTTTTTTCTACAACTGTCAAAAAAACCTGTCATTTTCTGACGAATTTCGAAACGCGAAGTACTAGATTTTTAAACGGTTAATTAATAAGTAAGGTTGCTTTTGACAACGTGCGCGAAATCGTCAACAGTGAAAAAAAGTATTTCGCGCACGTGACAAAGTTGAACTTAAACAGCAAATTTAATTAACAATCGGTTCAGTTGTAGAATAGTATATTGAAAGACAAGTGTTACAATGCGACCTATTGTAATACGACTATCTTGTGGCACGAGTGGCGACGCGAAGCGTAGCCACGAGTGTCCGCAAGATAGGAGTATTACAATAAAGCATTGTAACACGCGTTTTTCATACTATTTTTTCTATTTCGGTGCTTTAATTTAATTAAAAAAATCATTATCCGAAACTAGAGGGAACATTAGAACTAACATGTTTTATGTTGGGAACACTTTTTATGCCGTTAAGTTTTAGGTTGGCAGCGTAGTAAGACTGACATTTTGAAGTTCAAACATGGAAGTACCCAACGAAGTACCTACTTGTACTAACTAGTAACTGCCAACTTAAGAGATGAGACCAAAAAAAACGACTATAATCACTGTCTTTGTACAACTGTTTTCGGCCGAAAACAGTTGTACAAAATCATCATTGTGACACCGAAATAGAAAAAAAATATTGTATATAACGCTAGCGCGAAGTTATTTCGCGCATTTGACTGATATTTTGACTCGGCTTCGCCTCGTCAAAATACCTTCAGTCTCAATGCGCGAAATTGAACTTTGCGCTCTTGTTATAAATAACTATTTTTTGAAAGCGTGTAAAAATTTATTATATAATACAAATACAAAAACTTATAAACTAGGAGAATAGTACAAAAGATGCACAATAAATACGTTTTACATCTACCCTAGGAGAATAGAATATCAGCCTCTTCCTCATTTTCACAGTTTCCAAATACCCTTCATCAGGTGAATATGTACTCACGTTTGCAAATCGGGCAATTGTACGACGAGTTCAGGCATTGCCGAAGGCAATCCGCGTGAAACAAATGCTGACACGGAGTAACCCTCGCCCTCTTCATCGCACAAAGGCAGACGGCACAAACGTCGTCGCAATTTTCGATTTCCTCGAAAGACGCGTTTCGGAATTTCCCCAGGACCGCTTGTTCCTCTTTCAATTGCTTCAAGCAGTTAATTATCATGTCTTTAATGTTAAGGTATACTGTCAAATACGATGCGATAAAAGTAAACTTAAATTGTCCGTATAATAGCAAGACCATGCTTAGAAATGAAGCTAACGTGATTGTGTAGTAGCGCAGTAGCACTGGTGCGTAAAAGGTTTCCAAAGCTTCCAGAAAGTGCAGTCTTAGGTACAACAGCATCGTCGGGAAGAACTGCACGAACACCTTCTCAGTGCACATGTAGTAACTCCATGTAACGATGGTGTAAAACGTATTCGGTTGATAATACTCCAGACCCTGTTCCAGACCAAAAACGAGCAGCATGAACGTTACAGTTATGATAAACGTAATTGCTTTCGTCCATTCTAAAACAATTTTTGTTGCCGACATGGCGACGTGCTTCAAATTGCTGTGCTGTGTCATATGGACGTACGGGGACCAATCTTCCTTATCAATCAGCTCTTTGATGTAAGACACGCAATAAGCTATCACATTATAGAACATAAGCGAATATAGACCAGTAACGCGCTTTTTGGGACAGTCGTACCCTCCAATGCTGCACAGTAGTACTCGATCGCACATCATGAAGAACACCAACTGAAACAAAAGACACATAATTAGAACTGCTTTTTAATATACTGTAACATTTCGATTTTGTATAATTTGTTTGAGGGTCACTGTAGTTTGAATTGTATAAATTCATTGTTGACTTAATTGAAAAGTTTTTACCTTCTAGCGCAATTAACTTCATTTTGTGTAATTCTCGAGTTACCGTTGGACAGAGTTTTCTCTCATTTTAGAGGATATAAATTGGATTATTTGCTTCCTTTGTACGATATTCGCTTTATTGGGAGTTTGAGCCAATTTACCTCTAAACCGTTGCAGTCGTTAATTTCTAAACAACCGACACCGCAGAATTATTTGTATTTTATTTAATTATAACAGCAATCATAGTTTGGTCAGCTCTTCAAGGGAAAATATAATTATGAACAATTGAGATGTTAATGTACTTGTACGTGTTTAAAGTCACCCGTACTTAGATACTTGATCGGGTTTGTTTTGATGTTAAAACAAAGTCACTTTTCGATTGTGGATTCCAAGTGGCTTTTCAAGTTTGGTCAATTGACTCGAGTATGTAGACTACATAAATTTGTTTCGTAATGGTTTGTTCTAGGAATTTCCTGGACAGGGCTCTCTCCAATAGAAGTTTTATCAATAACATTAACAAGTTAAAAAGTAATCGTAAACGATTTACATAAAGCGCATTTCCACTTGCATTCATTTCCCATTTGTAAGATGCAACTTCTATAAAATCGTAAAAATCCGGCCACAAATATGAAAGATAGCGTTGCACATGGGCAATCCATTTTTGTCGTGCTACTTCAATGTCAGTTTATGAGAAGAATTTCATTTAAATGCTTTTCTAAATAAGAAAGTTGGAACTCCGCATGCGCCAACCTTAATTTTGAAACTAATGTTAGATTTTCCTTTGTTCCAAGCGCCTAAATATCAAATTTCACTTAAATGCTTCCATAGATAAAAAAGTTGGCACTGCGCATGCGCAAAATAAAATTTTGAAACTGGCGCTAGATTTTCCTTTATTTCAAGTGCCTATGTATCACATTTCATTTAAATTCTTCCATAAATAAAAAAGTTGGCACTGCGCATGCGCAAAACCAAATTTTGAAATTGGCAGTTGATTTTCCTTTATTCCAAGTGCCTATGTATCAAATTTCATTCAAATACTTTTATAAGTAAAAAAGTTTGCAATTCGGTTTATAAATGGTCGAGATGCGAAAAGTGCACTGTGAATTTTGAATCGATTCGATTCAACTTTTGGCATTGCGTATTATATGGCTAAATCTATGCCCATATTGAATTTCATGCAATTCAGTTCATATCTAACGGAGATGTAAAAGCGATCGAACATTTCTAAACAAAGTTATCGTTCACACGGACAGATAGATGGACAGACAGACAAAGGAACAGACGGACAGACCAAAGGCAGACGACAGATAGCAATGCAAAATTATAAACGATCTCTAGGATCGTTAATAAACGGCAAAAGTGTAAAATTATGGAACATGTAAAAAACGGTTTTTTGTTTTTTTACAATAACTTTTTTTGTAAGCGGTACAGAAAAAATTCCTTCCTTGGTACAAGACTCGACACCATAACGAACCAAATAGCGAAAAAAGTAGAACAATAGCTCTTAAGATAAAGAACTAGTAGCGTCGCAAAACGAGCGGACGGACGGACGGGCGGACGGACGGACGGACAAAGTGGCCACAATAGCGCATTTTTTTTTATTTTTGTGGAAATGCGCTAAAAAGTAAGATTTGATCTATTTATCCCTGTGCATACCTTATCGTTACGTTTGTTACTTTGCATAATTCTATTTTAAAGGGTAAGGGTTGATTGAACCCTTATTATTATAACCATTTAGCGTCACACCGCGGTGTCACTTTGTAGATTTGCTTTAGGGGTTTATTTCTATACAACAAAACGTAATCGTATGATGAAGATTCAAGAAAATTTCAACAGTATTTCCCCAACAAATTCATTTTATCATTTCTATATTGTCCACCGTTGTTGGACCGTTTGTACCTTAGGGAAACCACTGATTCTAAGAAATACTTCAATTAACTAACCTTTTTGATTTGCATAAAAATTATGATCGGTTCTTTGTAATGGAACGAATTATTATTTTATTTAATAATCATTATTTGAACATATTTATAGAAATTATTGTTCATTCTTTTGGAAATTGAAAATTCACTTTAAATAAGATTATTCATTAAATGAGTTCTGATTTTTTGGTCAGCTGTGAGAAATAAAAGAGTTCGCGACGACCATTCTGAATCATGACCACCAAAATTTCAATTTATTCTTATTGTGGTATTTATACATAGGTATGCATTCTACTTACACTTTAGCCCAACGTGCAGGAAAACATCATAACAACATGAATAATCATCAATACCACGCAAAGCTTCAAGAAAGTAGCGCGGACATGCGTTTGGGCCCATTGGGTACACGTACGTATACCCTTTGCGTATGCTCTTGATAAGAAGTTCCCAAAAACCTTCTGTCTGTCCCAGAGTGTTGATCCCCAAAGTCGAAAATCTACCTACTTCTTTCCTAAGTCATGGCCCATTTGAGCTTTGCATATCAAAGCGTTTTTATTTATTGTATCTCTCTTGCTCTGGGCCCTCAACAGGCCCAATTACAGAGTGACCCGCATAATGCCCCTATAGAAGGTCTTAAGTTGTTCTATATTACTTCGGTATCTACCTTGCGAATTAGGAAATCTTCAGGAAAACCTAGTTCGGAGTAGCCGGCAGAATGCTCGAAACTGATCTAAAGAAATTCCTATCCCTGCTACAGATGAAAAATTCACCTCAGCCCAGGTTCGAACACCCAACCTCCCGGCTATGTAGCCTAACGCTCTACCACTGAGCCATACAGTCGGTTTTTGAGTTATTGTCCGTACGGCCGGACGGACGACAGTCGAACTTTTTGACATTTTTGATAAAGTAGCTGCTCGAAATATCCGACTACCTAATAATGAGTAGGAGATACCACCAAAAAAGTCACCGATTACTCACTTCAGAATACTAAAAGTAAACAAGATCGGATTTTTCTGTAGTAGGTATAGTATAGGAATTATTGGGCCAATAATAATCGTTACCTAAAATTCAAATAGTCGATTAGGTATGTACTACGATTTATTGCTTTCCAGTGCATTTGCCTAAATATCTTCTAAAAAAACAAAATCGCCCCAAGGCGAAATGTAATAAAAGCAGAATTGCAGTTATTATTAATATCAGACAAAATAAATGGAATTATTAATCTCAAGTTCACCACATCGTCCTTTTTTATATGTGATTGTTTACTTCGTGGCTATTACTAATTCAAAGATATGTCGTTGTCATGCACATTAATCATGTTCTTGGAATATCCATGTTTATGCCCTCGATTGTTATTACAAATAGGGTATTTTTCTTCAAAGTGGAATTCTGATTTTTCAGTATTTATTGAAATTGACGTGTTTAACATTCCGACATTTTTCACTTGTTCGAATCGATATCTTCGAACATTGACTCAAACTTGAATGGTACAAAAACACCAACGAGTGAAGCTTGTTCAAGAATATGTAAACAGTGCAAACACTACCAGTTGAAAGGTCTCGAAGACTTCTCTCGACATGTGACGAAAATGGAAGCTGCATTTTTTTACTTTATTAATTCCGGTACTAGGTGAAACACAAGTCAAAAGTGGTGAATAATTTATATTTTTCTCACATCGTGCACTTATTAGGCCTCTAGGAAAGAAATTTTTTAGTCGTTTGATTTCTCCGCTGTACCTATTGTCATGTACCTATTGTAGTGCATATTCCAGAAATCCCAATAGATATCGAGGCGCCATTAAGATTAGTGATCGGCAATAAAGAACGAATGCGGATGTGACACAATCTTTCCGAGAAATATGAAGTGTTGGTTCGAGAATATTCTAAAATACTCGGAAGCGTTCGAGAACTTTCGAGAAAGAGGGGTGTTTGCTATGAAGCAAATCGAATTGCGTTTCAAGACAGTTCCAATTTCAATGCCGAAGTAGTAAAAAGTTCGCGCTGTTTATAAATTGTATATATGTGAGTGATAAATAATATTTTAACTGTTATAAATCAATTCATTTCAAGACTGTTATTAATTTATTGTTAATTAATTGTATATAAATAAATCACGTAATTAAGTTTACGTTACACTATTTACTTCTTCATTTATTGTTCCTCGGTATTTGTCAAAGCTAGCCCGATTTTCCGGGATTACAATTCCACCCAACGAACTTTCTTTGAATTATATGCGCCACGCCATGTTTCGTCGGTAAAAAATACTCTAAAGCCATGCCATATCTCTACATCCTTTAATGGCTTACAGATATTCTGGTCTTTTAGAAGCTATTGCATTCACTTCCATTAAAAAGGACAAGTTCTTCATTTTCAGAAGGCAGAACTGTGTTTGTCGATTTTTTAATGTAATTTTTTTTTTTTGAGTTGGATCCATCGTTCCTCGAAATGGGGGTTGAACTATATTATGTTATCAAAAATCTCTAAACCTTCCCCATATAGTTTTATTCGTTGAAGTTTTTTAAAAATAACAGCGACTATAGTTTCGGCGTACTGCCATCATCAGGCGATGTGAAAGTTAACAGGAAAACGGTAAATTACAAACGTTGAAGACGAATAAGACGAATAAGACGAACGTGTTGTTTTTTTAATTATTAACTGGCCGAAGCCAAGTGAAAAAACCTGAAGGGTGGTTAAAACGGAAAGGTTGTCCTAAGTTTCAAGACGAATTATTATCAAGCCTTGTTAAGACAACCAACCGGAGGGTTGAATTTTTACATTAAAGGTTGAAAGTTGGATTAACACATTTCAAAAGAACGGGGGGAAAAAAATAAACTTATAAAAGTATTGAAATCCAACTTTCAACCTTTAATGTAAAAATTCAACCCTCCGGTTGGTTGTCTTAACAAGGCTTGATAATAATTCGTCTTGAAACTTAGGACAACCTTTCCGTTTTAACCACCCTTCAGGT